TTCTAGTAACTGTATGGTTTCCAGTTTAACATTTAGGTTTCTGTTCCATTTGAGGTTTCTTGTTATGTATGGTATACAGTATGGATCTAATTTTATTCTTGTCTAAATGGCTTATCAGTTGTCTCAGCATCCTTTAATATAAAGTCCATTTTTGCCACACACACCCCCACCCCGGTGATCTAAGATGTTCCTTTTATTAAACTAAATGTCAAAGTTCAGTTTTTCTTCTCTATTGTTTTCCACATATAAAATGTAATAATTATATATGAATACTAAAATTAAGATGCATTAAATGTAATAATACATGCATATGTGGATTATGAACTTTTTTTAACTTCCTTTGAATAATAAAGAAGAAACTATTTAAGTGAAGATTAGAAATAAAAGTTCGGTATAGGTAAAGAGAAGACTTGTTTTTTATCCTATATGGTTTGAAATTTTTACTATGTGCATGTACTGCTTTTAATTCTAAAAATCAAAATATTTAAAATAGTGCTTGTCCTACAACAGATGTCCTCCCCAGGTATCTATGAGTCCCTGTTCTACTAGTTCTCTGATCAATGACAATTCTTTCCCCATCTATTTTGCAGTTCCTTTTAAAGGCTGTTCAAACACTGACACTCCCTAGATTTCAATCCTTGGTGTAGCATTCTAATGCTGTAAGCATTCCCTAGGCAAGAGTATTTACTCACATGATTTTAGCCACCACATCTATACTACTGAAGGCATTCTCTACTCCTGTGCTCTTCTCTTACCTCTGATGTGTCATAGGCAGAGCTAAATTAACAAGTCCCAAACTGAATCCTGCTCTTCTCTTTTAAACCTTCTCCTCCCCTAGCCCCACCCATCTCAGTAAATGGAAACTTAATCCTTCCAATTGCTCAGATTAAAAAAACCTTAGTGCTAGCCATGATTTCTCTTGTCTTCCCACATATCACATATGGTTTGTTAGCAAATTCTATTGAATCTGCCTTTAAAATCTTTAGAATCTGATTACTTCTCACCATCTCCATTATTACCAACCTCATTGAAGGTACAATCATTTCTTGACCACACTATTAAAACATCCTTGTAATTAGTCTCCCCCCTTCTACTTTTGTCCCCTACAGCTCTTCTTCAAGTAACAGCCAGAGTAGTCCTATGAAAAAGAACCTATGATAGATTTTTACTTACGTTGAACACCGTTTTTCTACTTTTTCTCAGAAGGTAAACTCCTCAAAGACTGTTATCTCAGTGCCTAAAACTTGGCACATGGTGGGTACTTGGTATATATTTGTTGAATGAATCAATTTATCAATAAATGACATCTAGGCTTTAGACTGTGGTTCGGTCAATTACAGTGCACAGTCCCATTGTCTGTTTTATATTAGTTTTATTAGAACATGGCCACGCCTATTTGCTCACATATTGCCTGTGGCTATTTTCCCACTACAAAGACAAAGTTGGCTAGTTGTGATAGAGATACTTGACCTGCAAAGTTTAAAATGTTTACTGTATAGTCGCTTAAGTAAAAGTTCACAGGCCCCTGCTTGAGATACACACAGCCAACTACTCTGCTTATCTTTTAGAAATCTCAAATCCAACTTGCCTCAAACTGACCTTATTTTCACTCCCCAAAATGTTTCCATTCTTTGTTTCTTACAGCCCCATTTTCTCAGTCAGCCAAATCAGATATGAAGGATTCAGAAATCTCCCACTCCCATTCCCAATCACCAAATCCTGCTGCTTTTTGCCTCCTATCTCTCTTCCCACTGTCCTAACTCAGATTACAATTATTTCTTGCGCAGAGTAGAGCACAACTTTCTCCTTCTCTGTGATCTATCCTTCGTACTACTAAGATAATGTCTTCTGAATGTAAGTCTGACTATTGATAGTACTACTCCACTTTTGAACTATGTTCTCCTGGCTCTAGCAAGAACAAGCAATCCAAAATCAAGTGCTTTTCGGGCTGGTCCCTGTCTCCTTCTGATCTCATGTCCTGCTGCTCCCATCTCAAACTGGGCCATCTCTTTGAAATTTGTTCTCCCTATAAGGCAGGCTAGAAGTAAGAAAAGTTTGGGACTTATATGTAGAATGCCCAGGGACAGCCCAGACCACACTCACCTGGCCGGGAATCACCCATGCCCCACCCCACTCATTGATTATTGGATGGGAATCTCCTGGTTCCTCCCTTCCCAAAGATTAGGGTAAGTTTTAAAAGCACCTGAAAAAGAAAAACACCTCTCTTTGCAGGTAGACTCCACCTCCACCCTAGCATGCTCCCCTTTGTATTTCCCTTTCCATAACATTTGATAAACCCCGTTTACACACATGTGTTCTGCTTGGAATCTTCCATGCCAGAGTGCAAGAACCAAGATCTTCTGGAAACACAGTTTGCCATTAACACCTATTTCTGTGTTTTTCATCTTCAGCATCTGTAATGGTTTATTTTAGATGTCAGCTTTACTGGATTAAGCACTACCTAAATGCATTATTTTTGGGTGTGTCTGCCAGCAGCATGTGAGTCTGAGCAAACAAGGTAGGGAAACCCTGCCCTTAGTCAGAGTGGTACTTCCAATCAGCTGGAGCCAAAGAAATACAGAAGGCTAATATGTCTCTTTTTTTGAGAGCTGGGGCGGAATTTTCTTCTACTGCCTTGGACATTGTGACTCTAGACTCTGTCTTTGGACTTCAGGTCATACATACAGCAGTGTACCATCCTATTCCAACTGTCCCCATCATCAGGATTTTTGCTTCAGATGAGTCACACCATTGACTTCCCTGGTTCAGAGGCCTCTGGACTTGGAGTGAGCCACACTACCAGAATCCCAGGGTCTCCAGCTTACAGATGGCCTGTCCTGGAACTACACAGCTGCCATAATCATGTGAGCCAGTTCCCATAATAAAGTCCCTTTCATATATCTATATACATGTCCTATTGTTTCTGTCTCTCTAGACAACCCTGACTACTAGAGTATCTAATATAGGTCATACTTCTTTACAAGTATCCCTTCTTAATAATTTCAAAGTATCCTATAAATACCCAACAATGTTACTATTCCAAAATGATTGGTGATGCAGCAGTGTACAGTGACTAAGTACTTTGACACTTAACCAAGAATCCCTCTCTTTTTTCTTTATACAATACATAATAGGTTGTTGTGACACCTATAAGATGTGTCCACCTGTGCTATAGAACACTAGAATTATTCCTCCTGTCTAACTACACTTTGGTTCCCATTTTCCCTGCTCTGCTAATTAGAAACCTTGGGCATATGACCATCCCATAGTAGGTGTTTATTATCACCTTCACATTTCAATTGAAAACAGTGACCACCAGAAAAGTTAACTAATTTGCTCAAGGTAATGCAGATAATATGGCAGAGAATTCTAATTGTTCCCCAATATCCATTCTTTCCTTCTTTAAGTCTTAGCTGGGCACATGCTATAGTAAATAAAGACTACTTCCCTGCCTCTCTTATCGCTAAGGGTGACTGTGAGATTAAATTCTGAAAAACAGCATGTAAATGAAATTGATGTGTGACTTGTGAGTCATGTCCATAAAGGAAAGGGTTATAATCTCCACTTCCTATCTTTCATCCTTCTCTTTCATGGAGATGAAAGCAGGACTTTTGGGATGGCGAAGCAATAAGAAAAAACATGGGGTCCTGATGCTATCAGATCACCTAACCAGACATGGACCGCTTTCCTGGACTATTCTGCAACGAAGAATTAACATCTCTTATGTTAGAGCCATGAAATGTTTGTGTATGGAGTATTAGCAACCCAGCATGTATCCTACCTAATGCAGCCAGCAAGCAGCTGAGCTTCAATTTGAACTGCTGCTAGACCTAGACTTCATCATTAGCCTCCTCACCTGGCAGGAAAGTTTTTATTGAATTATGCTTTTCAAGGATGGGACTGGCTGCCAAAAAACTTAGAGCCAAATATAGGACCACCTGTGGCAAGTATACAAGACATGTCCATAGATGTTTCTTGTCCTAACTTTATTCCTGGGCTCATTTTCCATCTCTCCCCTGGTTTTAACTTTTTCACTTGACCCGACTTAATGTATGTTACCTCATAGTTAATATCCTGTATCAAATATGTCATCATAATTGTTTTTGGAATGAAACATGATTTATTTATGGTTCTGAAGGAGACTAGGACCTGCTATCTTAAAACATGGGACCCTGGCATTTGAGGGAACAGAAGAAATAAGCAGGTCTCTCAAAAACCTTCTCCTACCCTTCTTCCCTGATGCAGGCCATAGAAGAATTCCCTAACCTTCTAAAGTAGGTCACAAAACTTTAATTCCAGAGGTACCCTCCATATTCCTAGAAGAAATAAATATCCTTACCCTCAAAGATATAAAAACACCAAGAAGAATCTAAACAAACAGGTCCTGCTAAGTTTTCCCCCAGTTTATTACTGCCCAGGTCAGAGAGTTTGGTCTTCTAATCCATTATTTCCCCAACGTTTTCCACTTCTTCATCAAAATTATTATTTAAAAACTAGCCAGTTAACCTCTTTGGCTCTTCGTTTTGGAATGCTCCAAAGTCACATAAAACTTATTGCATAAATGTGTATGCTTTTCTCTTGTTAATCTGTCTTTTATTATGGGATCTGAGTCATGAACCTAGCGGTAAGTGAAAAGATATACCTCTTCTTCCCTACAGTTTCATTGTACATATGTCACTTTTGTACCTGTCATCTTCCTCTACCTCCTTGTCTTGTCTCCATATTACATTGTTAACCCCTTAAAAGCAGACAGTGACTTTTTCTTCTTCAGTACCTCCAGCATCAAGCATGGTAGGTGCCTGATAATAAAATGGATGTTCAAGCAATAGTTGCTGAATGTATAGAATTCTGAGGATCAGAATTACCACTAAATTCATTATGTCACAATAGGATTTCCATGCATTGTCAACTTGAGCCAGAAAGGAAGATGCAACCTAAAAGACTGCTGAAGCAAGTGTCACATGTTTAGAGGAGCAGTGGTAAAGATAGGAAATGCATACCTTGCCAAAGTGCTCAATTAGGATTTCTACCACAATGTTCTGGAATTTGATGTTCATCATGGCAGCCACAGTGTCCTCTTGAGCTCTCATCAGGGTGGGCCCAAAGATCACCCCCATGTTGGAAGGGGTCATAAGATTCTCTTTGCTGTGCTCACACACACTGCCAGAAGAGAGAGAAAATGATTAACAAGATTTGCTACCTCCTTGCAAGCAAGACTGTATTAGGGGCTACAGCAGATAAAAGAAGCTAAAAAGTTGAAGGAAAGGAGAAGCACAAAGTATATACAGGAAGAAAAGATTACAGTGGAAATAACTAGTAAACAATATAAGATAATACATGATTATGAACCAGAGTGAGACACAGCGAACTCAGCTAGCAGCACTAAAGTTCTTAAGAGATGGTGGTATGGAGAACTCCAGTGAAGGATATGGAGAGGCAGGAGGAAAGCAAGAGGGCATTCAGGGTGAGAAGGAACAGCATGTATGAGGAATAACAAAGCACATGGACAGAGTGCCCACCAGTCAGAAGTCTGGCCCCTTCCCCACCCCCAGTTAGAGAAGGGAAAACCTGAAGGAACTGAAGGGATCCTTAAGATCCTTTGCCATCTTCTTCATTTTACAAAGGGAATCAACAAAGGAGAGGGGAAGGGATCTGCCTGAAGTCACAATCAGGTAATTGTAGAACAGATCCCATAATCTCAGATTTTCTGATCCCTAGTCACAGATCTCCTTGCTTAAATTCTCTTTAGTGGCTGCTCACTTTACAGGGGAGGATCAACATTCTTCAAAGGGGGCAGTTAAGGCTTTCTGTAACTTGCCCCCTTTTTTTAATCCCTATGAACAGCTTCACCTCTAAAGCTGACCTGGGTTTGAATCCCAACACTGTCATTTACCAGCTATGCAACAGCAAGTGTTAATTTACTTTAACCTCTCTGAGCTTCAGTTTTCCCACTTGTATAAATAGTATGTACTTCAGAGAGATGTTAATAGAGCTAAATTGCTTTAGCATGGTACTAAGTACCCTGGAAATATGTGTTGCTATTCTCTCTCCAAGGGCCCGCATTCTAGGCACTGCTGACTTCTGATGCTTGTTACACTAAATTGCTTAGAATAGGGTTTTCTGGCTATACCCTGCCATTTCTGACAGACCTCCACATCTTTGCTTATGCCAAACCCTCTCCCTGGGATGTCTTCCTGCCCAGTATCTAAAGAATGTCTATTTATCTTTCAAGATTCACATTGACATCTCCTGAAGGGCGACCACAGCCCATTGTCCTCATCTTAATTGACACCACTGGCAAGCAAAGTACATCGAGATTTTCTGTTTACTTATCTGCCTCTTCTACTAGGTGGTAAATAACTTCCAAGTGTGTTCCTGGCACACAGCAGGTACTAATTAATTATTTTTAAAGGAACTGAACTCCTCTAATGCTCTTTTAAACAGTTCAAAAGCAGCCAAGTGAAAAGCATGCAGCTTTTGGCCAGTTTGGCTGTGGGGGTGAAAGGGTTAGAATACGGGGCAGGCCAGCTGCCCATTCAAAACACTAATTTTCTAAATCCGCCCAAGTCAAGGCCTCTAAGAAACTGACCCATCAACAGGCAAGTTCTTGACACTAAGTGGGTAATTGAGGGGGACGGAATCCTTAGACAAATCTTAATAAAGTTGGTTAAGCCCTTGACAAAAGCTGGGTGCCATTCAGATGGAAATAAGCTGCAACCATTCAGGACCTTTGATACTGCTGGGCTGCTGATGGGTTCCTTTCAACAGTTTAAATACCTCTTCAATTAACCTTTATTCTTTAGTGACAGAATTTTTTTCAGATATTAAAATGGGAAAGTATCTCCGTGCTGCCACCAAGTGATCTGGAAAGGATAAACCAGTAGTGACGAAGCAAGAACACTTGCTTATCTCCTTTTGTGAACATCAACGGGAATTGGTGTTCAATGACCCAGCAGTTCACTGAATCATCACAATTACAAAATAAATAAATAAATAAATAAATAAATAAACCCCAGTATTTCAGCCTTGAAGCCTAGGTTCACCCAGGGTAAAGCATTTAGTAAGGTCACATTGTGAATAAGCGGCAAGGTAGGGATTCACAATCATATTTGTTGGTTTCCAAGTCTTACTGTTGCCCTGTTGCATCCTACTGCCTGCTTTTCTAGTTCTTTTTGAGAAACCAAAGCTTTTTTGGAAAGTCTTTGAAAGCTAAAGGCACTTCTTATTTCTTGGAGGGAGGTTCCTCTCACTTAGGATACTCTTCTTTCTGGGCCTCCTAATGAGACTTGGAAGGTTCTTTGTGGGGGAGGATTTCTTTACATTACATGTATCTCTGCCCTGATTATACATATGTTTTGTAGTGCCTGGCAAGCAGTCTGCCACTGAGCTGCATCCACAATCCAATATATTTTTTCATGTATGAGCTTTTTAAATGCACATCTCTTAAAACGGACAGAGATCAAAATGATAAAAAATAAGCACTGCTCTTCAATAACACAAGACAATAAATTTCATATAATAGATAATAGATCTTTTTACTCACCAAGAGAATACATGGTTTTTTCAGTTGTACGTAGCTCAACCTCAAAAAAATTGGCCATATGTTAAGTCATAAAGAAATTGTCAACAAATGAGAAATCATGATATAGGACACACTTGCTGAACACAATACAATGAAGAATTGACACGTGAAGACAACATGTATGTATGTGTGTGTATATATGTGTACACACACACATGAGAAATGGTCATCTTGAAGTAAATCTACAGATGCATATACAAGGTCTATTGCTAATAACAAAATGTCATGTTGCAGCTAAAAAGAATGAGGTAAGCTGTACGCAGTGGCCCACGCCTGCAGTCCCAGCTACTTGGAGGCTGAGATCAGAGGTTCATTTGAGCACAAGAATTCCAAGTCAGCCTGGGCAACATAGCAAGACCCTGTCTCAAAAAACTGAGGTGAACCTACTTTCAGAAGCAGTGAATGAGGTCCAAAACGTATTTTAAGTGAAAAAGTAGTTTGAAAAGCAATGATATACTGTGTGATACAATTTGTGTACAAAAACACAGAAATCACACTTCTCATTAAATGAAATCCATTTCTTACCTACACACACATGCACATGATGTAATATAAAAGGGAAACAAAAGGAAAATCCTGGGATACTGCACCAATGTGGTGGTAACAGCAGTTACCTCTGGGGAGGGGCTTGCAATTAAGAAGTTTGGTTAACGAGTGCTTTTCTCCCATCTGCAAAAAAACTGAAACTAGATCCATGTTTATCATCCTGTACTAGTATCAACTCAAATGGATCAAGGACCTTAATATCAGACCCCAAACTCTAAAGTTGGTACAGGAGAGAGCAGGAAACACTTTGGAAGTAATAGGTATAGGCAAGGACTTCCTCAATAAAACCCCAGCAGCTCAGCAACTAAGAGAAAGAATGGACAAATGGGACTTCATAAAATTAAAAAGCTTCTGCACAACAAAAGAAATGGTCTATAAACTGAAGAGACCACCC